ATACTTAAATGGATGAAGCGTTCTCTGAAAGCGCTAAAGTAATATCGCGCTTTTGATAACTGTCTGCAGCTGATTTAGCCACGATATTTTTGTCTCCCCTTTTGCATACGGCTTTTAAAAATAATAAATATGACATTCCACCAATCGGCATGCATGTATACCATTTTTTTTCATTCTTCAAATTTCATTTTTTAATAATTTTCGAGTTAATTTTTAAAATTTCATGACTCTTTCACGGCATTTTAGCGACCAGAAAAATGTCCGCCAACAATTTTTTTAAGTGTCCAAATTTCACCCTTTCGATTGGCCGCTCCCGCTTTAAGCCCCGGGATCGCGCTGGCAGACATGACTATTTCGTAATGGCTACAAAAAAGGATACTTGACACTAAAAATTAGCCATGTAACGATGTTAAGGTTTTTTATGCAGCCAGCTCTTGGACTATACTTTCTACGTAAAACAAGCAGGTAATAAATATTAGAAAAAAATAACTTGACTTTAGTATGGTATATTGTATTTTTTGACAGATTTCAGTCAGTGGTTAGACGAAACATAAATTTAAGTATATTTATTTATTATATTTTAATATAAATCAATTATATACTAAAAATATGTAATTACTTAACCATGATATCCTGAATAAAAAACTACATTTCCAGCACATTAATAGATATAATTTTGTTGAACAGTATAGTATTTTTTAATTTGCAGATTAAAGGCACAAAATTGAATTAAAACTACCTGTCTACTTTACAGTAAAATGTTCCCAATTGGTAAAAAGCACCCTAAATTTTCATTGGTCCTTAAAGTTAAAGTTAATAATCTAAGAACTTTACTGATGTAAATAATTTGTAAATAAAACTGTATATAAGCTTTTAAATGAAATGCAACGGCCCAGTTACGTCGAAACACCGGTTCCCATTAGAACACCGAAGTTAAGGCGAACACCAAACAGCGACGTAAGGCGATACTAGTGGATGGACGGGTGACCGGTTCGAAACTCTGTATCCTGCTGTTGTCCAATAAAGGCAAAAGTGTAAAATCTATTGACACGCACTGCGCTCATTCACGCCGGTTCGAGCTTTTGATGAGATCGGATATCTCGTGAGTAAGAGTCGATTTGTAATTTTGCCTAGTCGGTAGACCATTGACCATGATATGGCCGAAGACCGCGGTTCGGATTCCGCGTAAACAAAGTAGGCCCCGTCCAGATTAGCCCTGGCAGCAAAAATGAGACGTTAACTGAAATATTTACTTTACTTTTTACTTTTTAAATGAAATAAAAAGCTTTTAGTATAGAATATGATGATAGAAACAAGATTTAATATAAATTTTTTATAATTTTTTTTTTAATTTTCCCAAAGTAAAACTCCACACAATTATTTTGGAGCTATTTGAAAAACGGTACAGGGAAAATATGTTTTTTTTTTACCGTACCAGCCCTGAAAATATTTGAACTTATTTAAGACTCACCCTTTATATTATTTGGAATAGTCAGAAACTTCGGAATATTTAAAACATCTACATATTTAGTAGTTATTACTGATCGCAGTTTAGTTTTTACTGAATAGCGACTTGTCTCAAGATCGATTACTTACTTTTCCTCACGATCTTGCCCTGTATTTTTAGACAACCATACAAGAACATACAAGATCGAAAAAAAGGTGTCAAGGCTGACCTCGAAATGAAGATCAGTCCGCGAGTGTCATCTTTGTCATCATTGTGTCATTTTATTTGTAAAATTATATGGAGAATGTCATCGAACTTCGTTTCCAAGCCAACTTGACACCGTATTTTAGGTGATATAGTTGAAAAAATATATAATTAAGATTAAATTTTCAGTATTTTAATAAAACAATACGTATATCAAAAATCTTACATGTTATGCTATAGAAATGTTACAGACCAAAGTTTATTAAGTATTCAATAAAAACTTGGATAATCAATAAATAGCCTTGTGTTGTAGGTTATTGATCTAAGTTTCTGAAAAATAAACCGTTCTATCCTTGTTTTATCCGTCTATCCCATCGAGGATTATATAAATAGATGTTTTAACTCCATATTTTTAATTTTTCCCTCATCACATTAATGAAATTAACTACATTAGAATGTAGTTTTATTTGCTTTAATTTGATTACTATGTTTAAAATAAGGTAAGCATTTAGTTATTGCTTTTTTTGTGCCTATGAAAAATTATGACCAAAAAAAGATACTAAAATAATCACTTAAAAAATCACACACGACGCAGAGGGTCCAAGGAGAACGTCAGTTTGTATTGAAATTAAATTTTTTGAGCATATGTAGGTTAATTCAGAGCACTTTTTAAAAATGTAGAGAGTTCTACAGGGTGTCCCCAAGAAAGCTACACATCAAAGTTGTGTTTTTTGTAATGGAACACCCAGTATATTATTCCTATATTCAATTGGGAATTCAAATGTTCTTCAAAATACTATTTTGGTTGCAACTATCCCTCCAAACAAGTTGTCTAAAATATTCTTTCCATTTTTTGTTGAACTTTAGTGGGAGTAGATCTTTATTATTTGATAAAATCTTGGGGTGGCTCTAAAGGTGCTCTGAATTAACCTTACTATGTATGATTGCTTAAAAATTGTATTTGGATATATAAATTATGCCAGGTTGGAACCTTTGTGTTACACGGCAACAAACACTAAATCACCACAATACACCAAAACATTTTACTTTTACACTGACGCGTTTCGCTAACTATGTTAGCATCATCAGCAGATGATTATAAACTAAAGTACAATCTACAATCTCTGAGCGTTTATATACTCGCTCAGTGGGCATTGAGTGGGCGTGGCAAAAATCTAGCCAACCGAGACAGAACCCACTGAGCGTAACAGTTATATTTCCGTCACTAGAGCAATACGTAACTGAACGAAGTACAATAG